CAGCAGCAGCAGCAGCAGCAGCAGCAGCAGCAGCAGCAGCAGCAGCAGCAGCAGCAGCAGCAGGAGGAAGATGAGGACTTGGGGGACAGCTGCTCGACGCACGGGCGCGTGTCCTTCACGGAGCTGCCGACGGGGGCCTCTTCAGTGCGGAACGAGGAGGAGGGTTCCTCGGACGAAGCTGCTGCTGCTGCTGCTGCTGCTGCTGCAGCAGGAGGCGCAGCAGCAGCAGCAGCAGCAGCGGGGGGCCCCCGGGGCGCGTGCGCAGCAGCAACTCTGTCGCCGCCTCCGCTGCGGGGCGCGCGGCGGGCGCAGACGTGCCGGACGACGGCGAAGACAGCAGCAGCAGCAGCAGCAGCAGCAGCAGCAGCGGAGGCGGGCGGGGCGGGGGCTGCTGCAGCAGGCGCAGCAGCAGCAGCAGCAGCAGCAGCAGCAGCAGCGCAGCGCAAACTCTACCGCCGCGGGGCCACCTTCCCAGAGTTCACCACTCAGGAAAACTTAGCAGCAGAAGAGATGCCGCTGTGCGAGGGTTTGCGGCGGGGCAGCAGCAAAAGAGGGACCCTGCTGCTGGGGGGGCCCCCCGGGGGGGCCCCCCTGGGGGGCCCCCAACCCTTCCTGAGGGCCTCCGACTGCCACAATTGGTCCCCCATAACCCTCGCGAACTTCCTCAAACTCCTCGGGATGCAGCAGGAAGCAGCAGTGTTTAAAAGGGCTAAGATTTGCGGCTCAGATATCCCATCTTTGAAGGAAAGTGACCTCGAGGGTTTGGGACTTAGAGAAAAAAACTCCAGGAAATTCCTCTTAGCCGTTTTCCGATATCTCTGGAGCTGCACAGACCACAGAGACCCCCTCAAGCCCCACAACCGCAGACACCTCAGCAGCAGCAGCAGCAAACTCCCCACCATTCCTTCTGCTGCTGTTGCAGTGGGCCCCTGCGTGGGGGGGGGGGGCTTTGCTGTTGTCCACAAGGCCAGCCTCTCTTGGGGGCCCCTGCGGGGCCCCCAGGGGCCGGGGGGGCCCCCGCAGCACCCGCAGCGCCCCGAGAAAGGGGTACTTCCGCTTCGCGGGGGCCCCGGGGGGCCCCCGGAACCCGCGGGGGGCCCCCAGGGGGGGGGCCCGGGGGGCCCCCAGGGGGCCCCCAAACCCCTCACTGTGGCCTGCAAAATCTTCAGATATAACCCCAGACCCACTGCTGTTGCTGCTGCACTCACTCCCAAGCCCGTGAGGTCCTGGGGGCCCCTCCAGCCCCAAAGCAGGGCGGGGGAGGGGGCCCCCGGGGGGCCCCGCGAGGGGCCCCTCCGGGGGCCCCCCGGGGGGGCCCCCGGGGGGCCCCCCAACGCCGACAGCCGCTCCTCAGAAGCCAGCAGCGTCTCCTCCTTTTCCTTCGACTTGGGGGGCCCCCCGCAGCACGCAGCAGCGGACAGCAGCAGCAAGGGGGGCCCCCAAAGCTGCCCCGCTTCCGGGCTCCGCGGGGGCCCCCTGGGGCCCCTCGGGGGGCCCCGGGGGGCCCCCCCGGGCCTCGCCAGGGACTTCTTGTACTCCAGTGGGGCCTCCAGCAGCGGCGCCGAGGGGGGGGCCCCCCGCTCGCCCCTGGGGGGGCCCCCCAGTACCCTCGAGGCCCCTCTCAGGCCCGAGGGGGCCCCCCTCGGCGGCAGCAGCAGCTCCCCCAGCGGCTCCGGGCCCCCCTCTTCAGAGGAAAAAAACAGCAGCAGCAGCAGCAGCAGCAGCAGCAGCAGCAGCAGGTGGGGCGGGAGCGGGGGCCCCCCGAGCGGCCCCTCGTGGCCCTGTGGGGCCGTTTCGTCGGACGGAGGCTCGGAGGGCGACACCGCAGCAACAGCAGCAACAGCAGCAGCAGCAGCAGCAGCAGCAGCAGCAGCAGCAGCAGCACCAGAAGCTAGCACCCCGGCCAGCTGGGAGGCTCCGGGCAAAGCCAAAGAGGAGAAGCAAAGCCCAACCAGCACCCCCCCCCAGGGAACCCCCCAAAGGACCCCCCCGGGGGGGCCCCCGGGGGGCCCCCCGGGGGCCCCCGGGGGCTGGAGCCCGGCGTCGTGGGAGAGCCACGTGGCGCGGCTGCCGCTGGTGGACTTTTTTCGGTACTGCCCCATGGCAGTGAAGCACCGGGACTTGGAAGCAGATATTCTTTTTGCTTTGCAGCCTCATCCAAATATAATAAAAGTTTACGGAAAGTGTTCTTTGAGGCCCGGAGAAGAGGCCCTGCTGCTGGAGTACTGCAGCAGGGGTTCTCTGGACTCTCTGGTCTTTCCGGGGGCCCCCGGGGGCCCCGGGGGGCCCCCGGGGGGCCCCCCGGGCCCCGGGGGGGGGGCCCCCGGCGCCGGGGGCCCCGGGGGCCCCTCGGGCCCGGGGGTTGCACACCCGGGGGGCCCCCGCCGCAGCAAACGCAGGGGGGGGCCCCTCACCAGGCCCGAAGTTGTGAGGCTTTTTGAACAAGTTGCTGCTGGTCTTGAACATGTCCACAGCTGCAGCATTCTGCACAGAGACGTCAAACTCAGCAACATTCTCGTCACCGACACAACCGCCAAAGTAGGGTTTAGGGTTTAGGGTTTAGGGTTTAGGGTTTGGGGTTTGGGGTTTGGGGGGTTCTCCGCGTGCAGCTGCGCCTTGCTGCTCGTTTTTGCGCGTTTTGGGTCGTTTTTGTTTCGTTTTTTGAATTTAATCATTTAATTATTTAATTATTTAATTATTTTAATTATTTATTTAATTATTTTATTTATTTATTTGCTTTTTCCGCCATTTTAACCCCAGATCGGAGACTTCGGAGTGGCCACCGCCTTCGTGCCCACTGACAGCCCCTCAGTGCTCGGCATTTACGGCAGCGTCTTTTATGCGGCTCCCGAGGGTACGTGTGCTGCTGCAGCAGCAGCAGCAGCAGCAGCAGCAGCAGCAGCAGCAAGTGCAGCAGCAGCGGGGCCGGCAGTGCGCGTGGAGGGGGAGCAGCCGCAGCATTAGCAGCAGCGGCCGCAGCAGCAGCAGAAGCAGCGCGAGCGGCAGCAGTAGCAGCTGCTCAGCGCACACAGGAAGAGGCGCAGCAGCAGCAGCAGCAGCAGCAGCAGCAGCAGCAGCAGCAGCAGCATGTGTTTGTTTTGTTTTGTGCGCAGTGCTGAAGGGGGACGGCTTTTATCCTGCTTCAGATGTTTGGTCTTTCGGTGTTGCCTTTTGGGAAGCTCTGACGGGCCAAATTGCCTTTGACGGTATGCTGCTGCTGCTGCTGCTGCTGCTGCTGCTGCTGCTGCTGCTGCTGCTGCTGCTGCTTCTGT